TGGAACTTTCTAGCAGTTGCATCTGATTGATTGCCACAATGCTCCTTTTTCATTTTTATACACTAAGAGCTTGGAATTTCTCAAAATTGAAAATAAATCTACTGATTTTAGCATAAGTTACTATTACTAAAATGCCATCTGTTAAAATAATTGCTGTTATGTGTTAAAGCATACTTAAGAAACTCATGGCTTCCAAGTTTATGCTATTTTTTGCTTTGTAACGCAATACCTCAAGTGATTGTAAAGTTACATTTTTAGACATTGTTAAGAAAAGAGAAAGTTTTTGAAAGTCTTTAAAATTAAATAGCATGGTTAAGCATCTTTAGATTTCTAAATAAATGGATATTTCAAATCCGACTGGGCTTTTTTCTTCTCCAAATTTTGCTTACAAACCTGTACCACTTTGTCAGTGCTGGATCTTAAACCTAACTTTATCCTCATTTTAGAATAAAGAAAGACTTGAAAGCATGAACACAAATTCCACAAAGAGATTCCTGCAAATGCTGTTCTATTAAACAGAGGAATGTTTGTTCTATCTCCAAATGGACAGAAGCAGAGATCCTCTCCTAGAGTCTGGCGTGCTCTGAACTTATTTCCTCTGAAAAATATATTCTATTTTAATATTTAATCTTCATGCAAATTACAGCAGATTATATAAACTCTTAGACCAGCATGACTTTGTTAGGAAAATATTTGAGTCGTAACATGAAATATGAACCCACTAAGCTTATTATCTTTCTGTCTATATTCTTTCCAAGCTGGAGTTGACATAACTTGAGCTTTTGAGAAATACACAGGTTAAATCATTCTATCATTAAATATTGCTCCTCTGGATTTGTGGACCTGTCCAAATATGACAGAGCGTCCGGGACACTCTGGTCTTACTGGGATTGTGCAAGCACTGTGAACTTTGTAGGCTTGCAGTTACACCAGAAGCTTAGCCCACTGCAATGATCACTGAACTCCCCCGACTGACTGAAGTGCTGGAGCCAGGACTTTGCACAAGCAAGATCAGATGAGTGATGAGACACCTACGAACCCCAGATTGCCCCTGGGCACAGAAGCATTTACATCACAGTGATTATAAAGGAAGACATGTATAGTCTTCCCCAGTTTAATTGTTATGAAAGTTACCACATGCAGTTTTGGAATATGGCTCTTGTAATTCAGACACAACTTCAACATCATATAAAACTCGTACACTGAATCAGCACAATAAAGGCTACTGAAGTGCTAATTTCTTCTGTGCCACCCGAAGAAGGTGCCTCATTTGTGACAGGACTATCACCAAAAAAGATTATGTCATAATGAAATTTATTCCACGTTAGGTAAGCATTTGCTCATTAAACGGCATTTGCAGTTTATACTTTTCCATTGCCCTTTTCTCACTGATGATTGTTAAAGGGAGACTTGCATGGCACTTGTTCTTTGGAGACCAGGACCACCACTGAAGGTTTCCCTCCACATCACTGCAGCTATCAGCATAAAGGTAAGACAGGCTAAAGATAATGCTTAAGGCATAATACAACCTCCACTTTCTGTGCAGTCCTACACG